TGGTGCCTAGATGTCTATTAACTTATCAATCTGGGATATCGTAAAGCCATAAACCAAGTCCCCTCACTGAGCTTCAAGACATTCCACATAAGCCATAAAGCAGACATCACATTCAAAAATCCATTTTCCCCTATGATTTCATATCTTGGGCTATGAAAGACATACCTAAAAACCAGGCATATATTCAGACCGGTCACTTGAATACAAGTCGTCTGACATATTACATCGCCTATCTGACATCTACAGGAGAGCAGAAAATTATATCTCCTTAACCATCCCCACAGGTATGTCATATTTCATATCTAGATGTTCAGCAGATGATTCTGCATATTAATCTACCCATGGATAGAATGTTACATGTACCTAGGAAACGTTAGTGACCATAGTATAATTTGCGAGGGCTTTGGTCATAGCCTGAGCTTCCTGCCTACCACACCCCTCCCCAAATGAGGCGATTGGTTCTCTGCTTTAAGGAGACACCCTGCTGAGTTCCTAGAAAAAGGCTGTTATGCTTGGAGCTAAGCTAAGCTGAGTTGAGCTAAGTTGAAGATTCTCCCTTTTAACATCGGAACTAACTTTGGGAGATAAGGCACCCTTTTTGGCTCAGGAAACCTGAAAGCTGCTTAAACCAATGCTTTTGGCAAGTACTGTATCTCTCTAAATTCCTTTCTGTTATCTTTTTGCTGTGTTATTGCTCTCTGTATATTTATATATATATATATATATATATATGGCTACATTTTTTTTCTGTAAATATTTTTATTGTACCCTTTTGACCTTTTAGTAATAAATCTTACTTTCTGAAAGCGTTGAACTGTTTCTAAAGCTCTTTAATGCAAATTAAGAATTCCTGTCTCTGAAGAGCGCTACTGTGGGTGTTTAAACCTCTGTATACCCTTCCTGCGGTGACAGTGGTATACAGAAAATTATATATTCAACATCATAGTGTTATTGCTTATATTGCGAGTTTCCTCTTTCTCTGTACAAAAAGAAGGTGGTGGCAGTGTGAAGGGTTAATTGCGTAATTAACCTGACCCAGTAACAATCGCTCCCAGGCTGCAAGTACACAGATTGTGGTCCATTAGCTGGAAAATCTTTGTGCAGGGTGCAGCTGGGCATGACATTGTTACGCACGTGACAGCGCAATTTTAGATTGGCTAGTCCTTCGGTCACGAGTTTGGTGAGAAGGGCTGGGGTCTGACGCCGCGATTGTCACACTAAGTCCTGCTGGAAAATGAAGTCAGCATCCGCATAAAGCTCGTCTGCGGAAGGAAGCATGAAGTTCTCCAAAATCTCCTGATAGATGGCTGTGTTGACCCTGGACTTAATGAAGCACAGTGGACCAACGCCAGCAGATGACATGGCTCCCCAAATCAACACAGACTGTGGAAACTTCACACTGGACTTCAAGCATCTTGCAGTGTTTGCCTCTCCATTCTTCCTCCATACTCTGGGTCCTTGGTTTCCAAATGAAATGCAAAAGTTGCTCTCATCAGAAAAGAGGACTTTGGACCACTGAGCAACCGACCAGGTCTGTGTTTCTTTAGCCCAGGTAAGACGCTTCTGAGGTTGTTTGTTGTTCAGGAGCGGCTTGACAAGAGGAATACGACATTTGAAGCCCATGTCCAGGATCCGTCTGTGAGTAGTGGCTCTTGATGCACTGACTCCAGCCTCAGTCCACTCCTTGTGAAAGTCCCCAACACTTTTGAATGGTCTTTTTCTGACAATCCTCTCCAGGCTGCGGTCATCCCTGCTGCTTGTGCACCTTTTTCTTCCACACTTTTCCCTTCCACATAACTTTCTATTAATGTGCTTTGATACAGCACTTTGGGAACATCCAACTTCTTTTGCAATTATCTTTTGAGGCTTTCCCTCTTTATAGAGGGTGTCAATGATGGTTTTCTGCACAACTGTCAGGTCAGCAGTCTTTCCCATGATTGTGATTCCTACTGAACCAAACTGAGAGACCATTTAAAGGCTCAGGAACCCTTTGCAGGTGTTATGGCTTAATTAGCTGATTAGAGTGGGACACTGTGAGCCGAGAATATTGCACCTTTTCACAATATTCTAATTTTCTGAGATTGTGGTATTGGGGTTTTCATGAGCTGTAAGCTATAATCATCACAATCATCACTAATTATGACAAATCACGGCTTGAACTATTCTAATTTTTAAAGTTTCACCTGTAGTGTTTAATGCTTGGAATTTTTTTTTAAAACCCCCAAAAAATGAAAAAAAAACAAAAAAAAATTATATTGTTATTGTATATTAATAGTTTTATATATTTTAAGCAGTTTCTTGTCTTATAGTAGTTTTACTATTTAATGTTTTGAAAAATAAATAAGTAAATAATAAAAAAAAAACAAAAAAAGTATATTGTTATTGTATAATATTATTATTAGTATTATTAATAATAATAATAATAATAATAATATATATATTTTAAGCAGTTTCCTGTCTTATAGTAGTTATAGTATTTAAAGCTTTGAAGAAAAAAATAAAAAAAAAAACCAAAAATTAAAAAACAAAAAAATTATATTATTACTGTATATTACTACTACTATTATTATATATTTTAGGATGTTTTCTGTGTTGTAGTAGTCATAATAGCTATTGCTTTAAAAAAAGAAAAAAATTGTATAAAATGTATGAAGTGTAAATGCAGGGCTTGACAAATTTGCTTTGAATCTAGAAGCCAGTTTTTTTTTTTTTTAGTATAGTGTGGGTTGCTAGCGCCCAGGGCTTCATGCAATGCGATTTGCCACGCAACAATTACGGCAAAACCGCACCATGTTTTAGGCTTCATTGAAAATAATGACACCTGAATTTGCGTATTGCGATCACAGTGATTCTGCTGCAATCCTAAAATGCACAGGTGTGAATGGAGCGGCCCTGGTTGACACATATGTGATTCTGGATTCGTTTTGAAACTAACAGATTCACATGACAGGCTAGATATTTTGTGTTCTTATTGAGGTGGTTTACACAGATGCGATCCACACACACTGTGTTTTGAGTGCCATTATGAAAAGGGTCCTGTGCGAGTTTGTAGCTGTGCATTCCAGACTCACAAGTGAGAGTGTAGAGGGGCATGCTGAGATAAGTGTTCACATAGGATTGCTATTGACAGTCATTTTCGCATTGAAGTCCATGGGAGGTGTTTTTGCATTGGAGTCCATGGGAGGCATTTTTGCATTGAAGTCTATAGGGAGGCGATTTCCCATTGAAGTCTATGGGGAGGTGGTTTCCCATTGAAGTCTATGGGGAGGCGATTTCCTATTGAAGTCTATGGGGAGACGATTTCCCAATGAAGTTTTGGGGAGGCGATATCCCATCGAAGTCTGTGGGGAGGCGATTTCCCATCAAAGTCTATGGGGAGGCGATTACCCATTGAAGTCTACAGGGCGTGATTTCCCATTGAAGTCAATGGGGAGCAGTGTGTGAACCCAGGTGCCAGGACGCAATTTCTAGTCGCCACGGTGACTTGGCGCCTGGGATTTGTCGGGCTCTGTGTAAATGTAAAAATGTAAATCTAATATCTCACTTTATTATTTTCTTCCCTGGCCAGGAACACCAGGACCTAGAAATGACATTTCACATGTCGCTTCTGGGTCATTAACAGAAAGGGAAGATCTGCAAACTGCCATTTAGTGATCTTCCTCTCATCTACCCAGCGGCACCCACAATGCTGTTCCCGGGTTCGCCGGTGTCAAGGTCCTACCTTTTCCCTGAGGTTTTGTTACTCCATGTGCTGGCGTCCATCTTGGATTCTGCTGTGCATGGTGGGAGTCCTTTTATGCCTTCAGGTCTCTGAGGTCCATCCCCCAGAGGGGTGTGGCTGATGACATATAAGCCTGTGGCCCGCACATGCTCTTTGCACTTGTGTCTTGTGTCTTTGTCTTCCTACAGCTCTGTGTATACGCTCGTGACTCTTCTGGTATCTGACTCGGCTTGTGATTAAGACCATTCTCTGTGTTTTCGTTCGATCTGACCTTCCGTTGCTGAACCCGGCCCGTGACCTGTGATTCTCTGTCTGCTGTTCTGTACCGTTTTGTCCCGTTGTTGTCGACCCGGCTTGCCTGACCACGCTATTGTCATTCTCACCAGCTACACGCCATTGGCGGCGGCCATTACCGCAGCCGGGGTGTCTCGGGGACCGCGACCTGGTTCCTGGCTGCGTCAAGTCCATCCCCACCATCAGGGGCTCTGGTGAAGGGCAGCCTGGGACTTAGACTCCGCGCCCTGAGGGACTTCGGTCTGTTGGCGGTGGTTGTCGTCAGCCAGTGCATTACCCTGCCACTAGGCCTACCTGTCCGTTCCACAGCCCTGCCCTGACAGCCAGTGGGTGCAGAACCTGGAAATCCAGTGGAGGATGAGCCAAGATTGCTATTGGTTATATCAGAAGAGAAGGTTCAGGGCCACTCTCTGCAATACCATTGCACAGAGAAGGAAAGTATAACATGTTTGTTATTGAAATTACTATAAAAAAAAAAACAAATATACAACCGTATATTATGAGATATGCAAACACATGTTTGCTGATCCTCTTACCCTCCACCCACCATGGCACCCACCATGCCAGTTCTGGGTTCACCCATGGATACATGAAGCCCAGAAAAATTTGGCGACGGAACATATGAGGGGAACTGGCATTTGTGTATGTGGATGTTATCTGGTGGAAGCACTTGTTTTTTTACAGTTTTTGACGTCCTATGTAATATGACGTCCTCCCACTCTAACTGCGCATGCGCACCTGGCGATCGGTGGTGCGCTGTGTCACTGGGCAGATCACCGATCACTGGAAAGAGCTGATGACTTCGGCTCTGTCGTGTGATCAGCTTTGTCCAATCACAGCTGATCACATGTAAATAGGAAATGCCGGTTATTGGCAGTCCTCCCGCTGATAGCTCGTGAGGAGAGACGGTAATCGGCATTCCTCAGAGGAGACATCTACACTGATTATCAGGGCACTGATGATCAGTGTAGCCCCACCAGTGCCACCTGTATGTGCCCATCAATGCTACGTATCAGTGCACATCAATGCCACATATCAGTGCCTACCAGTGCACCTCAATCCCACATATCAGTGCTCATCAGAGCTGCCTTTCAGTGCCGCCTATCAGTGCCAGTCAGCGCTGCCTGTCAGTGCTGTCAATCAGTGCCACCTATCAGTGCCAGTCAGTGCCACCTATCAGTGCATGCTAACAGTTCCAATCAGTGCTGCCTAACAGTTCCAATCAGTGCCGCCTACCAGTGCCCATCAGTGCCGCCTATCAGTGCCATATATGAGTGCTGCCTTTCAGTGCCCATCAGTGATGCCTGTCAATACCCACAAGTGATGTCTGTCAATGCCCATCAGTGTGCCTCCTTATCAATGCTGTCTATCAGTGCCACCTCATTAGTGCACATCAGCGAAGGAGAAAAATTACTTATTTACAAAATTTTATAACAGAAACTAAGAAAAACTTTTTTTTTCTCAAAATTTTCGGTCTTTTTTAGTTTGTTTAGCAAAAAATAAAAACCCCAGTGGTGAATAAATACCACCAAAAGAAAGCTCTGTCTATAAAAAATGATAAAAATCTATGTTGCATGACTGCACAATTGTTATTCAAAGTGCGACAGCGCTGAAAGCTGAAAATTGGCCTGAGCATGAAGGCGGTAAGAGTGCCCTGTAGGCAAGTGGTTACAGGCATTAGCACCGTGTTTACAAAAAAAAAATTATATAATATATAAATGGTTGTTAAAATCTATTTGTATTTTGTTGTGGGTCAGTATATTCCACGTAATTAATTTTGGTTGTATTTGTTAAAATCCTGGAAATCATTTTATAATTGAAAGTTTTGTACCTGTTCAAGCATTTGTAATAAAGTGTTTTGACATAAATATGTTTGGTTTTTCTTGGCTTTCCAAGGATGTTGTTTTATTGTGACAATCCTACAACCCCCAGTAGCCCTTCAGGTGAGCTCTTTGGTGTAGGAGGCAGCACTGTGTACAGGTGTGTGAGTGGTGACAGAAGAGCGCAGACCTCCCGTCATTGCCGATTTCTACTAGTCACTTCATGAAAGTGTCACTTGTTGTGTCTCCATAATAATGATCCATCTGCTTGGAAAGATGCTGTGGCCTAGTAAGCATTGGCAGTGAGTGAGGAGTTCTCATCCATGGTAGCCACCTGAGTGGTTTTGAACCAGACAGACCAGTTTTAGAAACCACCATCTGGTTCAAAACCTCTTTTCTCAACTATTTTTGGGAGCTGTAAAGGACAGATGCAGGCAGATGTAAGCTAAGTGACTCAGTGGTGGCCACCCACAGGTAGGTCACTCAGCTTGCATCCACCTGTGGCCCACCCCATACAATAATTTTGTTGATGCCCTCTGCTAAATAGGAGGAGCCATAGGGGAACAAAAAGTGAGAAGCAGATCAAGGGATTCTGCTGCTTTACTGCTTGCCTACTGTATAACTTACATATGCAGTGGAAGAGCAGCTGTCCAGCACTGGATCACGTACCTAGTACATGATCCACGTAATCAAAGAGGGGGCACGCGCGTGCGCACCCACTGGCCAAGCTGTGCTGTGATTGGTAACAGCACATGCCAATCACCGGGTCCCGGCCAATGATTGAACACCAGCATCTGGTGATCGGCTCTGAGCTTCACTGAACACATCTCTGTAAATGTAATGAACACAGAGCTATGTTCAGTGATAGGGGATCTTGCTGTTTTTTCATTCCCTGCTAAGCAGGGAATAAAAACAACAAGATCCTTAGTAAAAGCAGCACACATTACATATACACTATATTGCCAAAAGTAGTGGGACACCCCTCTAAATCATTGGATTCAGGTGTTCCAATCACCTTCATGGCCACAGGTGTATAAAATCAAGCACCTAGGCATGCAGACTGCTTCTACAAACATTTGTTAAAGAATGGGTCACTCTCAGGAGCTCAGTGAATTCAAGCATGGTACCGTGATAGGTTGTCACCTGTGCAATAAGTCTATCCATGATATTTCCTTGCTACTAAATAACTGCTAGTGGTATTATAACTAAGGGGAAACAACTGGGAACAGAAACTCGGCCATGAAGTGGTAGGCCCATGTAAAATGACAGAGCGGGGTCAGCACATGCTGAAGCGCAGTGTGCAGAAGTTGCCAACTGTCTGCAGAGTCAATAACTAAAGACCTCCAAACTTCATGTGGCCTTCAAATTAGCACAACAGTGCGTAGAGAGCTTCATGAAATGGGTTTCCATGGATGAGCAGCTGCATCCTAGCCTTACATCACCAAGTGCAATGCAAAGCGTCGGATATGCAGTGGTGTAAAGCACACCGCCACTAGACTCTAGAGCAGTGGAGACCTGTTCTCTGGAGTGACGAATCACACTTCTCTGTCTGGCAATCTGATGGACGTGTCTGGATTTGGCGGCTGCCAGGAGAACGGTACTTGCCTGCCTGCATTGTGCCAAGTGTAAAGTTTGGTGGAGGGGGGATTATGGTGTGGGTTTGATTTTCAGGGGTTGGGCTTGGCCCCTTAGTTCCAGTGAAGGGAACTCTTAAGGCATCAGCATACCAAGATATTTTGGACAATTTCATGCTCCCAACTTTGTGGGAACAGTTTGGGGATGGCCCCTTCCTGTTCCAACATGACTGCGCCCAATTGCACAAAGCAAAATCAATAAAGACATGGATGAACGAGTTTGTAGTGGAGGAACTTGACTGGCCCGCCCAGAGTCCTGACCTCAACCTGATAGAACACCTTTGGGATGAATTAGAGTGGAGAGACTGTGAGCCAGGCCTTCTTGTCCAACATCAGTGCCTGACCTCACAAATGTGCTTCTGGAAGAATTGTCAAACATGGGCAGCACAGTGGCTAAATGGTTAGCACTTCCACCTGGCAGTACTAAGGTCATTGGTTCGAATCCCAACCATGGCACCACCTGCCTAGCATTTGCATGTTCTCCCTGTGCCTGTGTGGGTTTTATCTGGGTACTCCAGTTTCCTTCCACACTCCAAAGACATGCTCTTAGGTTAATTCAATCCTGTCTAAATTGGCCCTAGTATGAGTATGTATGAATGTAAGTTAGGGACCTTAGATTGTACGATCATTGAGAGTTAGGGACTGATTTGAATGTACTATATGTAAAGCACTGCATAAATTGACAGTGCTATATAAGTACTTGAAATAAATAAAGTCCCATAGACACACTCCCTAAACCTTGTGGACAGTCTTCCCAGAAGAGTTGGAGCTGTTATAGCTTCAGAGGGTGGACCAACTCAATATTTGAACCCTGTCACGTACCTGGATAGTGAGCCTGACATGAAGAGGCAGACCTCTCGTACAACTCCGGCTTAAGGACCGCTGATGGTGAGACAGCGGTCACAGGGGCACGGTGAGGTATGAGTGCCTGTGATCAGTCCAGTAGTAGCGGGTAAGCTGATGAGTTGTAGGCAGGAAGCAGGGTTCTGATGTAGCCATGCTGGATGGATACCCGAGAGCAGCGTGCTGAGGATGCAGGGTCAGACGAGCCGGGTTCGGTATCGGTCAGGCAGATCAGGCTTACAGCGGCAGGAGGAAGAGTAGTCAGGTCACAGGCCAGGTCAGCAATGGAAGATCAATCAGACAGCAGCGGAGACAGAAGAATAATCCAAGACAAGCCAGAGGTCAGGGCAGGAAGCAATCAAGCGGAGATCAGGAACAGGCTGGTTCGGTATCAGGAGACAATCACAGGAATCAGAGAACACGAGAAGGGAAAAGACCATACGGCAATGGGACAACTACTGCAGCCTGTTTAAATAGCCCTTTTGGCGCCAGCATTAGTGACAGGCGCGTGCCCGTATGCGCGAGTGCACATGCGCGCGCCTATGTCCAAGTGCCTGCACATCTGTTTGGCTTGTAAGGACTCTGCGCATGCGCATATTTGTGCGCCGTGATACTTCACCTGCACTATGGGCAGGTCTTTCCTGACAAACCCTATGGGCTAAGACTGGGATGCCATTAAAGTTCATGTGCGTGTAAATACAGACCTATCTACACTATATTGCCAAAAGTATTGGTCGGCCTGCCCTTACACACACATGAACTTTAATGACATCCCAGTCTTAGTTCGTAGCGGGGGTGGACTGACAACTCATGGGGCCCCAGGGCAACAGGGGATCATGGGGCCCCTGTGTCCTTGCCCAAACTCAAAAAAGCCTATGAAGAAGGTACCAGGGGCATCTCATGGGGCCCCCTACTGACCCCGGGTCCTCGAGCAGTGCCCGAGTTTCCAAATGGTCAGTCCTCCCTGGTCCATAGGGTTTAATATGTCAATGTAATGGAAGCTGCTGAAGGGAAAGCTGACAAATTGCATAGAGGGACATTAGGGTCAGTTAGAAAACAGTACTGTACTTCTTTTTGCTAGCTCTTTGGGTAATTCATCTCTTTGCTGCCTTTTTTGTTCTAATTATTGAGAATTTTTTTTTTTTCTGCAAGGCTTTCAGGCGTCAGTATTCAGGGGTTTAATTTTTTAGGGGGTATATTGCTTTTTATTTTATATTGGTAGGGCCAAGATCTGTAGGTCAGGGTTAAGAAAAGCGCTCAAAACCTCCTCCTTGGCTCTGAGCTACAGATCAGACAGGTGGTGGACAGGCTAGCAGGCAGAGACAAAATCTGGCAGCTGCCAATTCCTCAAATGGAGGAAAAAATGCTGGTGGGTGTAGTGTCAAGACCTGGGGCACCCAGCAGCTGAGGCAGGACACATGCCCCGGGTGCCTGGCGCCAGTGACGCTGAAGATCATGATCTACTAAGAGAGTACAGCATGTTCACTTTAACAGTGAATGGGGTGAACAAAGTGAGAATTTACTTATCCAATCACATACAAAAAAAAAAAAAGAACACGATTTTTGCTTGCATATGATTGGATTACTGAAGTGAGCACTACTTCACCTCAAATACTAATTGACGTGAAAATTCCCTTTCCAAAGAGAAATGTCATGTTGTAAAGAGATTCAGTTCTGTCAATGGAGGCACAACATCACGTGTGTGGGTATTACCTAGGGTGGCCTGCTTAGGACTGCCCATTCCCCCAGACTGACACATCAAAGCATTTCATATTTGCATAACTCCTCCCTAGAGTCAGCCCACTGCTGGAACCAGAGCTGGGGCTATTGAGAGGAGTATGGAGGCAGGGTGCTCCTTTGTTTTCAGGAAGGTACAGTATGTACAGCAAGCACCTCTCACTAGTCATGATTTGTCTGCATGGCCTAGAAAAGCACAGAGACCCAGTAGATACAAGACTGGGTCTAAAATAAGTAATGTAATAAAATCAGAAAGCTATGGACTGGAAAGGTCATAAGCATATTGACGATGGGGTAAGTATAAACTTTATAAACTTCATTTTTAAAACTAAACTCCTCAAAGCCCCAAAAACTTTCATTGAAATATATTCTTCAATAGCCACAAATGATTTTACTCAAATTTCTGAGGACCAAACGCCTTTGCAAATGCTGATCTCACTTTGTAAATGTAGCAGTGAAAACATTTCTGTGCAGAGCATAGAGAGAGCAGCTGTGGGAGGGGCGCAGAAGACCCCACCCACCACAGGCTTCCTGCAGAAACTTACAGAGGGAGCAGAGACAAGACCAGGCACTTTGCACAAGGAGAGAGAGCACCACTGACTGGTCTTTGTTACAACTAGCTCCAGCACACTGGATTACCACGCAGATGTAGAAGGAATACATAAATATATCAATTCCTCCTTTTAACCACCTCCTGCCCGCCATATAGAAATATGACGGACGCAAGGTGGTTCTCTCATTTTGGGAGGACGTCATATGATGTCCTCCCATTCCCACCGCGCATGTGCGGCTCCGAGAGCGTGCAGCGCGGCGATCGGCGGTGCGCTGTGTCCCTCAGACACAGCGGATCACTGATCACGGAAAGAGCCGAAAATGTCAGCTCGGTCATGTGATCAGCTGTGTCCAATCACATGTAAACAGGGAAATGCCGGTTATCGGCATTTCTCTCCTCTCAAGCTGTCACGCTGACAGCTCGAGAGGAGAGCCGGTAATTGGCTTTCTGCGGAGGGAACATGTACACTGATCATCAGGGCACTGATGATCAGTGTGCCCTGATGATCAGTGTAGCCCCACCAGTGCCACCTGTCAGTGTCCATCAGTGCCTTGTGTCAGTGCCTCGTGCCAGTGCCCATCAGTGCCACATATCAGTGCCTACCAGTGCACATCAATGCCACATATCAGTGCCTATCTGAGCTGCCTTTCAGCGTCACCCATCAGTGTCAGTCAGTGCTACCTATCAATGCCAATCAGTGCCGCCTAACAGTGCCAGTCAGTGCCCATCAGTGATGCCTGTCAATACCCATCAGTGCCACCTACCAGTGCCTCCTCATCAGTGCCCATCAGTGCCACATATTAGTGTCCATCAGTGCAGCCTATCAGTGCCCATCAGTGCAGCCTCATTAGCGCACATCAGTGAAGGAGAAAAATCACTTATTTACAAAATTTTATAACAAAAACTAAGAAAAAAACGGGTTTTTTTTTTCAAAATTTTCAGTGGTTTTTGGTTTGTTTAATAAAAAATAAAAATCCCAGAGGTGATTAAATACCACCAAAATAAAGCTCTGTCACAAAAAAATGATAAAAATGTCATATGGGTCCAGTGTTGTATGACCGTGCAATTGTCACTCAAAGTGTAACAGCGCTGAAAGCTGGACATTGGCCTGGGCAGGAAGGGGGTATAAGTGCCCGGTAGGCAAGGGGTTAATTAGATAATGTTGCTTATCCCAAAGTCCAGCTTCCAGGCCTGCTCTTCTCCTCACGGTCAGGTCTCATTCTCCAACCTCCACACCTGACAACATCTGCAATTACACAATCTAATGGTGGTCATGGAACATTTGTCCGTTTAGTTCAATAGCTGTAAAGAAATGTGACAAAAGGTACCAGTGCACGGCTGCCAATACACGGCGCAGCAGTACAGAAGCCCGCACCCCCTCCAGCATTCCCCGGTGCTGTCCCTTTAACGCCGCCGTCCGCTTCCTGCCGCGCATGCGCATTCCGCTTCTGCGCTTGTCATCATGGCGGCGCGGGGCCATGTGCAGGATCCTAACGATAGGAGGCTCCGACCCATCTACGGTGAGTGGTCCGGGGCCCGCGGGGATGAGGCGGACAGCCCAGGGCTGAGTTGGGGGCGGCCGTGCAGCCGGTGTCGGTAGTGAAGGGCTCCGGGGTGTCGGTGCGGTAGGTAGGCCCGGCACCGGGGGAGACTGAGGAGCCGATGAATGGCTGGCCGGGCGGGGTGATCCGGGGCCTGGCGTTCCGTACTCTGATACTACTGCGGGTGTCCCTGGATGACTGGGGAGCCCCGTCCCTGTAGGTGGTGCTGCAATGCTCCCTGCAGACGGGAGATCGGGACACCGATCACCCTACCGGGCGTGGGCTACGGGGCCGGAGCACTGATCTGCCTGCAGATGTGACACTTTGTTTCCTCTTCTCCCCCCCTGAGTGACATCTGTCAGACCTGGACCATGGTTCTGGAATGTACCATCACCTGTAGAGGAAGTGTCCCCAATACCCTTTTCAGGTGGTGTGGCCCTTTAAAAAGCCCTGCAGCCACTTTCAGCAGCTTCGCCTGAACACGTGACAGATTGCCATCGATCTTGAGGGCCAGTTCACACATGGGGCCGTCACCTGCGGTTTCCTGCCCTGGAAGAATGACAGTCACTGCCAGGACACATACACACACTGCCCTGTTCACATGTCACTGCTCAGCAGTATAGCTATACAGTGGCATGGAGTGTTACTCCTCTATAACTGAAAAAGGGAGCCGAGTAATGCCCATCGCACCGCCGCCCTGCCGAGTAATGCCCATCCATCGCCGCACCCATCGCCGCCCCCTGCCGAGTAATGCCCATCGCACCACCCCCTGCCGCCAGCTCACTGCAGCTACAACAGACAGCTGCGGTTTATTGTGCGTCGGCTGGTCAGGGTAGTGTGGCTGGCCCTAGTAGCACCACTTCTACAAAGCGGCACAATGGCTACACTACATTCAAAAATAATTGCCTCCAGTTCATAGCTGACACTATCAGTAATTAACCCTTTAGCGCCTCCCGGCCATTTAGGGGTTTCTGATGTCCTGAGACGGGGTTTAGTGTGATGTGATTGGCGTTTGTATGATCAGAAAGCTTGTTTACAATGGGTATGCAAATATGTGGTCTCTCGGCATCAAGGCCCAGCGCTGAGAGGCCGCATACTTGCGTACCGTCAGTACCAAGGAGTTACAGTAGCAGTGAACTCACTTTTTCACTTCTACCAGCAGATATGTTTATAATGAGGCTTGCTTGTAGGTACAGTGAGCCTGGGTTCACACATATGTGGTGCGGTAGATCGATTGTGATTCGCACCGCATTCCTGTGCAGATCACATGCGAATTGTGTGCAGTGCGATGGAGCCATACATTTTGTATAGCCCAAATTGTACTACACCCACGCCAGAAAGGTGCAGGACCCTTTTTTTGGTACGATTCTGCACATCAGATCATGTTTTGCAGACCGATTTTGGGGTGTTGTTAACATACACACCCGCAGCGGTTCGCATGAACGGGGTGTGATTCTGATGCGGTGCGGAATTCGCACAGAAAACGCTGCAAATCCTGGACCGCATCAGTGTGAACCCAGCCTGAATATCTCATCACTTGCACCGTTTATTCATTTCAGGTAGTTCTCTAATGCCGTCAATTTACACAGCGCTTTACATATATATATATTTGCACATTCACATCAGTCTCTAACCCTCAAGGGGTGTACAATCTAAGGTCCCTAACTCACATTCATACATACACATACAAGGGCCATTTAGACAGGATCCAATTAACTTACCAGTATGTCTTTTGGAGTGTGGGAGGAAACCTACGCAGGCACAGGGAGAACATGCAAATGTCAGGCAGGTAGTGCCGTGGCTGGGATTCGAACCAACGACCCTAGTACTGCCAGGCGGAAGTGCTAACCATTTAGCCACTGTGCTGCCATATCCCCGTTTAGGAGATATTCATCAGCTGCTGCAGCCAGTGATGGCACATGCGCAGTGCTCTCTGCATTTGTGCCCTTGATTCAGAGTGCTGTGTCACAATCGTGACTCCTGTGCGCACACGCGGGAGTGATGTCATCGCAGCCCAGATGATCAAACTGCCAGTGCAAACCTGGACAAAAGACCAGGTGAAGATGGATGCATCTGCAGCAGTGACAGCACAACATTGGAGGACTCCATTAAAGGCTAGGTTCACATCTCTGCGTTCCTGCAGGCCACGTGTTGCGCGTGCTCAAAAGCCCAATCATTTGAATAGACTCCCGTGCCCCGGGGGACACACGGAAGAAGTCCCTGCATTTCTTCGGAAAACGCAGCCCACACGGGAGCTTCGGTTCCCAGTACGGTTGCCATTTCCAGTGCGGCCGGTGTGCCATTAGAATTAATGGCACCCGTCCGCAGGTCTACATTTCTCTGTGCGGGTGGTGCGGCTGCACTGATTTTTGTGCGGATCCGCAGCGGCACCACCCGTACATATGTGATCCTAGGGTAATGGTTAAGTTTGTCATAACATGCAGTTCATACTAGCACACTATGGTGTCAGTTCACTAAAGGATTCCGCATGTGATATAAAGGCCATGTTACTCCTTATTCAGAAATACCATATGAGTCAATCCATCAAAGTAACATTTTGAAAGTAAGGTAAAGACTGCAAACACATTACATAAATCTTCAATTCACTGAGCCCCAATTCACATCAATGCAGCTTTAAAGTCCAGCTATGCTTTGCGATTTCATTGCGGCTTGCTGCAACTCAGTGCGTCTTCATTAATAGATGTCAATGCAGGTCGCAATGAAGTCACAAAAATAGGGCATGAACCTTTTTAAAGTTGCTGCACCGATTAGAATCGGACCTTTAACAGATATAGGATGAGACTTTTAAGTCGCATTGGTGTGAATCGGGGCTAAAGAACACACACATTCATTAGTTATCACCTGGCCGTTGCTATTTTAGCAGTGTGCAAAATAACAATGAGAGGAACTCTGGTACTGGCCAATAAATGAAAAGTATACAATGAATCGGTGTGGAAATGTTCTGCCCTGAGCTCAGGAATGAAAATAAATTGTAACATTTCACCAGTGGGAGATTGTTCTGTGAATGAAAGCACACTAGAATGATTTCAGTTTCCTAATATTTATGTGTGCATTTATTTACAGAACTACAGTATCTTCCTCTGGTGCAGTGTTAGCATTTAAAGAAAAAATTGTGAAAAAAAGCCAAAAATAACAGTATGGGTTCACATCTATGCGTTTTCCTTTGCGTTGTGCAGGAACAAACAGCAGTCCATTTCCCATTTTTTCCCTATGGGACAGGTTCACATCTCTGCGTTCTCACCCGGTTTTAAACTTTTTTTAAACGCAAAACGTTGCGTTTCTGGTTTTATAGACTTCAATGCAGACGCTGCAGAAAAGCATGTAGTGCGTTTTTGATGCAATTTTGATGTGTTCTTGATGCGTTTTAATCTGCCCAGTAACAAGTTGGGGGGAAAAAAACGCAAATCATCAAAAATGCGTCAAAAACGCAAAAAGCACTGCAGAAAGGGATCAAACCGCATAGGTGCGAAGCTGTGGTATGGCCTAAGGCTAGGTTCACACCTATGCAGTTTGCGTTTGATTTGTTTCTGCAGTGCATTTTGAGTTTCTGCACACGCGTTTTGATGCAGTTTGCATTTTTGTTCCCCCCGCCCCCCCCCAACTTGTTGCTGTGTAGATTAAAATGCATTAAAAACGTACTACATGCTTTTCTGCAGTGTCTCCATTGAAGTCTATAGGACCAAAAACGCAACGTTTTGCATTTAAAAAAGTCCCTGACCCTTTCCAAAAAATGCACCGGGAGAAAACTGGGAGATGTGAACCTGTTCCATAGAAAAGCATGTTAAGTGGACTTCTGTGCGTTTCTAAAAAAACACAACGGAAAATGCATTGGTGTGAACCTAGACTAAAGTTAAGTGATAAATATCACAAAACAAAAATATTTAACGCATTTGGTAAATAACACGTTATTTTTAGTAAATTTACTACTTTTTAGATGAATACCGCATTAGTTATTTTAACTCAAAAATTTGAGGTATTTATCTGTTAGGCCCTATTCACACTTGGACGTTTTGAATTGCTGGCTTAATTTTTGTGAGTCTGCCTGCGATTTCAAAATGCTTTGCTAAATTAATAAATCACACCATAACGTGTAAGTTCAATGGAACTTAATGTGGTGCGGTTCTGCTGTGATTGTCGCATGAAGTGTCACCCATGAGAAGTTCAGGAGCTTCCTTTAGGCAGTATGCTTTGTGCAACAATCATGGCAGAATCGCACCGCATTTTTACATGTCATGTCATGGCATGACAAATTAATGGCATCTGAACATGCTGTTGTGCGATTTGGTTTTCTTAGCAAAGCATTATGAAATTGTAGGCAGAATTGTGACAATTCTGCCCATGATTTAAAATGCCCAAGTGTAAATGGGATCTAAGGCTGCATTCACACTTGAGTGTTGTGTAGCTTGAAGCTTGGAGCTCCAAAAAATGCTCAAACTTAAAATAAAATCAATTTTTCTCTATGGTGCCTGTTCATACCTGATTGCTAGAACAGGCTTCGTACAGAGCAATTGATTTTTTAAGTTTGAGTGTTTTTGGAGCTTCAAGTTACAAAATGCTCAAGTGTGAATGCAGCCTTAGTGAATTGACCCCCAATGTCATTAACTTTCAGGGGGTCCAGCTATTCTTTTTAACTTGATTTTACTACTCTTTTAACCTCTTACCCTCCAGAGGATTTACCCCCCCTTTCTGACTAGGCCATTTTTTGCGATACAGCGCTGCGTTACTTTGGCAAGTGCGCGGTCATGCAATGCTGCCCCCAAATGAAATTTATGTCCTTTTTTTTTCTCAACTGTGCGTTTGTTTTGCGCTATGAAAAAGACTGACAATGTTGGAAAAAAAAAACGAATGTTTTACTTTTTGCTATAAAACATGTCCACTAAAAAAATTAAAATCAAATTTCGTCATAAATTCAGGCCAAAATGTATTCTGCTACATGTCTTTGATAAAAAAAAAAAATC